GAATATTGTTCACGTTCAGGCTTGTAATATAAAAAGCTAGCTCAAAACCTGGGTCTAAGGCCTCCTGCTTATTGCCCTTAACCAACTAGCATATATCAAATTGCGCTGTGACAGCAACTCTCATAGCTCGGTGTCCACACTCCAAATAAACGACGAAATTCAAACGGCATTCATGATTAGACGATATAAAATTCCTAACTCCTCAATGACCAGTCAAGACATCTAACCAAGTCATATATATTATTCTTATTATTTTCCTAGTCGCTCGGGTTTTTAGTGGAATACTGGGCTTCAGTTGCACATCTCCACCACACTCTGTTCTCTGCAGTCTATTGAACCTGGCTCCATGTCTGTTCAGAAGATCTCATTTATTCCTCACACCATCTCCTCCATGTCACCCTCACCTCAGATGTCCAACCCGTCGTTTCTCCTTTGGGTTCCCCTCGAGGGCCTGGCCTGATGCATGATGTCCCCAATCGATCTTCTCAGTGTATGCCCAATCCATCTCCAATTTCCTCTCCTGCATATTTGTTGAGCGACGGGTTCTTGGTTGTTTCGTTGCCAGCCGGACTGAGTTCCTTGTTGCTTATTCTTTCTGGCCATCTGGTCTTCAGTATTGAGTGAGCGTAGGTGGCAGCTGTTGATGAATGCCTGTAGTTTGTTGGAAATACTTTCGTAACGCACCGTCAAGTCTATCAACCATCACATCGAAGCACTGACTTGACGTTAGTGTTGAAAATCCGAATCTTGTTCTTTGTGCCGAGCGTATTAGATCTCCACACTGATTTTAGATTAATGCAGGAGGGCCTGTCTTGCCTGCCTTTCCGATCCTGGCTGCTTTAGTGTCCTCATCTGTGCCACCTGTGGTTGAAACGATGCAGCTTAGGTAGGTGAGAGAGACTACTTCGTTCAAATTTCTCCTGTTCATGGTGATTGATGCTTATTATTGATGCTGTTGTTTGTTGGGTATCTTCATCACCTTCGTCTTCTCTACATTCACTTGAAGTCCCATATTCGCTGCCCAGCCTCTTCTGTCAACTTATCAGTTTTCGCCTGTAGATCTTCGAGTTTGTGTTACAAGACATTAGACATGAATCATCATTGGCGAAATCTAAATCTTCTTCTGGGGTCTTTTCATCGGTCAAACAGCGCATCCCCATCTTCTCGCTCCTCACGGTTTGCTGCATGATCCAGTCGACCAGAGTCAGGAAGATCACCGGTGATAGTAGGCAGCAGCCTTGGTTTCTTCTATCAGTTTCCATGTTTCCATCGAGATCCATTCCTCATCCTGTATTTCATCATTCCTAACATGGTTATGCGGGTTTTCTTCCACGTCTCTTTCAAAGAGTTCCAGTGTTCTTCCATGCAGGTTTCTTCACGGATGTTGCCTAATGTCTCCCATTTTTTCCTGATAACTGGCTGACTGACGTGAAGATCTCCTTTGTAGTTTTGTCCTCCAGTTCCTGTTCTGTTCTTGGTGTTGAACTTGAGCTGTGGCTTATCACAAACTTCTATCAAGGCCTTCAACTTGATTTGGAAGGTTCCTTGCACTTGATAGTGAGTGGTATGAACCTACATCTGCTTCACTTCTTCATCTTGTGTCCAGTAGGCTGTCTCCATCTCCACTTTCTTCATATTGAGATGAAGTCGATCTGATTATTAGTGTGTCCATCTGGTGAACTCAAATTCATGTCACTTTGTGAATATCCTTGTGCTTGTATACAGTGTCTCCACTCACCAAATTATTAGAGGCGCAGAAATCTGCAAACAGTTCTTCACTCTCATTCATTTCCCCAAATGCCTCTCGACCCATGATAAGTCTTTTTCCTGTGTTGTCCGCTTCCAATTTGGCAATCATGTCGCCCATTAGAATGTTGGTGTCGCCAACTGAGGTCTTGTCCAGTGTCGATTTCAGTTGTCTGTAGAATTCCTCCTTCCTCTCTTCATCTGCATTATTTGTAGGTCCACAGTATAGCATTGTACGATTGTGACTTTCCTTCCTTTTGAGTTGAGCCTTCCTGTCATGATCCTGATGAAGAAGAAGATTGGTTTCCACTGCATGAGAGGGAGCCTTTGATGCTCTCAGAGACATTATGGTAGCCATTCCCTCAGTATGCTCATGGTTGTCGTCTGCATGACAATGTCGAAGTGGATTATTGACTCTGCAGTTGACAGTTTAGAGAGTCCACTTCCATTACATCTGCTTTCGCAGATTCTAAGCACCTTCATGCCATACCTCCTCATCTCTTTGGCAATCTGGGCAGCCTTGGTAGGTTCCTACATGGTGTGGACATTCCATATCCCCATCCTTACTTTTGCTTTCATTGAGAGAAGAGAAGACACGTGGGGCAATTGGCTTCCTGGAGGCATTCACCAACTGGAGTCATTTCGTCTCTCCAACTCCAGAGAGGAATAAGTTTGTTTTTATTTTTTATGTCATGTTTGTTCTGTGAAGTTTCTGTAGCGGTTGAATTGGTCTTACGGGGTAGGGTTGCTAGCCCTATGCCCAACCTTCCCTCTTTATGTGAGCTCAGGACCGGCTAGTAACTAGTGAGCTAGTTAAATAGGTGAGGTTAGCCATGCGAAATACTACCTCAAAATTAAAATCCCTATTGCCCTAAAAATACGTTACTCTATAATGCTCATTAGTGACGCTTCCAAATGGATATCACAAAACTCTAATAAGAATCCGTGATTTGGGAGATCAACAGGTTGGTAGAGAAATGGATGCCAACTGAAGACCTTAAGTGATAGTCAGTCACCCAATATCTCCAACTGATAGAAGTTGGGAACTGTGAACCACTGAACTGCAGCCTAGTAGCTCAATGGTTAGAGCTTTCGTCATAAGACCTGAAGGTCCTGAGTTCAATTCCCAATGGGATCGTGGGTGCGCACCGCTGATGAGTCCCATACTGGGATGAAACAGCTATCCAGTGCTCCCAGGTTTCCAAGTGTGGTCCAACTGATATCAGTCATAGGTGAATGCTATCTCAAAATTAAAATCCCCATTAACTTCAACATAGATTGAAATTACTCACTGAATGATTGCAGTATGTGATCGAAAGAGTTGTAAGTAATTTTTAATGGGATATCTGTAATCATATTACCTTTTCCATCTTCACTGGTTGCTTTGTATCATCGTAGAGGATTATTGAAGTTTGGATTCAATTCAGTTTACTCTGTTAAAAAATGTGTCTGTTTTCACATAAGGTTCACATTTTAAATAGCACTTCCATGAGAAGGTATATAAAACTGATGTTTTTATAACTTGTGTTACTAAAGTACGATGATATAATTCCCCCACAGTCGGAAATTGAAATGTATTCAGCAATCACTTTCGCATCCATGTGGTAGGAAACTAGCTATCTCTATTATGTAGGAGCTTGCGACAATATCCAGTTGCTCCAGCCTCTTTCGGCGGGTTGAGCCTCGAACTTGTGACCCACTAACCGTAAGTCGAGTACCTAGTCCATTGAACAACAGCTTCCCTAGGATAGACCCCAGACGAGTACGTTACTACTGTACAGTTGTTGTGTTCAATTCTCTTGCGAAAGAAATCCTAACCTAAAACAGAGTTTATAATTTTTTGCACGGCTTAGTGAAAAGTGATATTCCAGAGGTAGTTCTGCTATGTTAGTTGGTTGTAGGCAATCGGCAGGAAGCCCTGGATCTAGGTTTTGTGGTTTTGGCGCTCGTCAGCAGGGCGTATCTGCAACCTCGACAGAACTGATATCCAGCCTGAGATTCGAACCTGCGTCATCCACTGTTATAGTCGGCGACTTTACCACTGAGCCATTCGGGCTGCTGTTGACTTCCTGCAGGACTGGCTTATATGTACTGATTGGTCACGGGAGTGCAACCAATTTCATGTTGTCTAGTTCTGAGTGCAGACCAGATCCTATCGATCATATTTGCAATGTGGAAACCAAGCTAGGAAGCTCAGCATCGCAGTGCACATTAGTAGATGTTAGTTGGTTGGAGTCAATCGGCAGGAAGCTTGGTTGCCACATTGCAAATATGATCGATAGGATCCGGTCTCTACTCAGGACTAGACAACATGAAATTGGTTGCACTCCAGTGACTAATCAACGCAGTTCTGCTATTTTTCGTTCCTCGTTCACATTCCTTAGCTTCTAACATTTTTAGATTAAAAACCCACAGTAAATATTATCCCTGGTGAATAGTATCTCTCTTGTTTATTTTCTAAACGGGGAACCTCTTAGCTGGCTGGGATGTAAACAAATTTTCAGATAAATTTATTTTTCACTATAACGTAATCTTATAAATCAAAGCAAAAGTCATTTTTGTAACGCAAATCTCATTGTTTTCAGAAAGCCTTAAATTCTTCACACAAAAGTAACTGAAGTTATGCATAACAAGTACTCAGAAAATGAGTTATTAAAACAAGTTCACAATGCAATGATAGATATGGTCTGGTTTCACGTATTTTAACGTCAAATAAGCTACATTTATTAATAAAAAATAATAAAGTGGAAATATTACACTTTAACCATGAAAATAAGAATACAGCCAAATTAACCCTGAGTAAAAGCTTCTTCGCTAAGATGAAACCTTTTGAAACAATGGTCGTTATAACCAGAACAACAGCAAAAATAAATCTAAACATTTTTTAAAAAGTAGTATGAGGAAAATTTACAAGTAGTTTGTCTAAATACAAATTTTTCTATTCTGAAAGCTGATAAACTCGTAAATGTAATGGCCGAAATTGCATTTTTGAATTTCAGAGTTTAAGAAATGACTATTCTACATCATTTCGGATAATAACGACAGGAAAAGCTTAGTTTGGAAGAGATCTAACTACCCTATGCTTTTTTAGTAAAGCAATATTTGAGTGTGCTACACGAAACTTAGTATATGTTGTAAAGCGCTTAAACAAACTTCTTTATAATGATTGAGACGAATTTGACTAGACTTGTGTTAACATCTACATGTATTAATGTATAATGAAGGGGAAAAACAAAAATTTCAAGTGAATAATCTTAGAAAAATGTCTGTAAATCAATTGAATCTAAAAAACGCGAGTATGTTTCTGGAGAATGTGATGTATCGTAAATGGAAGATTCGTGATTACTACCATTCATATCATTACTAGTAGTCGGTTGACATATATTTAAGCTTGTATAAAATTCTCGTTCATCAACAAAATCAGTAGTACTGTCTCGAATATAATTGTTATAATAAGGTGTATTCTCCATTTGAATTTTATATGGAGGATAATTTGCGTCAGCTGGCTGAAAATTTGCTGTGTCATCTAATATCATATTTTGGACAGGAGGGTGACAATTTGACATGGGTTTGTTGTACGCATGCGTCATCATAGGCGAAGGTAGAATAAACTGTTCTGGTTTATAATCTACATTGCTCAAACAAATATTTCTCGTAGGTGTATTTTCACATGGTCTCATTGTAGGTGCTAAAATGGGGACATATGTTTTATTAAATGGTTGAGCCACAATATGTGACACTCGTGTTACTCTTGTAGCTTGAAAAGAGCTTGCACGTGTTGGACATAGGACAAGTCCAAGTGGTAGTTCAGAAGCTGTTTTAACTTTATACTGTGGTAAACCTTTAGCATTTGGTTGTTTACGCTTTCTTCGAGGACAGTATTTATAATTTGGATAACGTTTCATATGATAATCACGTAGTCGATTGGCTTCTTCTATAAAAGGAGTTTTATCTGCATTTGTTAAAGACTTCCATAAGTTTCCTAATTGTTTACTGATTTCAGAATTGTGGAGTTTAGGATTTTCTTCAGCCATTTTACGCCTTTGTAATCGTGACCATACCATAAATGCATTCATAGGTCGTTTAATTCTTTCGCCATCCATGTTATTTCTACTATTATTAATACAATGTAGTAAGCGGTTGTTCACATAATTAGATTGCATTTGAATAAGTGGTGGTAAGGAAGATGGTTGCGGTAGTGAAGGTGCTAATGAAATCATTGACGGCTCATTTGTAAGCTGAAAAATATCAAAACATTGAGAACATTTCAAATGAATTACATACCAGGTTTTATTTTAAGACAGTTAAATATTTATGTATTGGTATCATCCGTAAAATGTAACATTGTGTAATGGTTGATGATTACACCTATTACCAGAAAAACTGAATACTTTAAAATTCTACTGCATATTATCATCACCATTACCCAATACTTTAAACATGATATATCTTTTACTCCACTTCCTGGGAATTGTAGGTTACCTGATTGATGCCTTCAAAATGCAGAAAATAAACTACCAGTGGTCGGTCATAAGAAAAGTCCTTGTAAATCTGCCATAACAGTAGAAATGTAATCATTCCCCTTTGTGCTCTAAATCTTGAGGGTTTTTCAAATTCTCTTCTCATAACATACTCTTCTTTTCTTAGTTGTCACGTTGCTTCTAACCCTAAACTTCTAGATGTGCATGAAGGCTGTTAAGGCATACAGAGGTATACTGTTACGCTTGAACACTGATGTAAATTTACGATTTCTTTTGTTAGAAAGACAAACTAAGTCTTTTTTTCATCCTTCCGTTTTGCGTTTGGAAAGTAAAAAATTAAAAATTAAATTATTTCAGACAAGAAGTATGCATTAAGTGGGAAAAAATCGTTTTATGCCAAAATCTAAAGCAGTACCTGTTATCTAGATTCTATAGACATAGTTACTTGTTTCCAATTTCAAAAATTAATCAGCTTTTTGATCATAACGAGGTGGTGTAATAGGTATAGTTTTAATAAAAGATAAGACCTCTAAAATAAGTTTGTATTACCAACATAAATTTTTTTCTTTCAAATTTAATTCCCTGGAAATATTTCTTATAATTTTCTTCATTCATAAAGTGCTTTCAATGTGCATTTTTCATTACTGGTGCAGTAACTCTCAGTAAAATCATCACTCGCTAGAGTCCCAATCAACAACCTGATGGTTAGGTTGTTGTTAAACTTTATTACTGCATCATGTATCTCTTTAGTAAATCATGCATAGCATATATGACAATGTACGAAATGGATTCATTTAGGAACATCTGCTAAAATTTATCTATTTTTGAAATCTTACTTCCTTCCAATTTGACTTACATTCAGTATATTTTTCATGGCTAATACAGTGACAGTCCTCAAAGGTTTTGTACAGTTAGAGACTTTTAACTGGTGCTTAATTTCTCTGACTACTTTCTTGTTTTCTAAGAATCTGTTTTCAGTAGTTTATCTGCAAACATTTCAGACTGTAAAACCAGAATCCTCATTCACCATTATGCACTCGCAATCGATTTTTATTTTTCTGATCGGCAGAGGTGAGTATAACATTTTGCTAAATAGATATTCGACAGTTATTTGGTTCTAATAACGTCTAACCACTGTAATATCATCAAACAGCTTTCAGTTCATGAAATATATCAATACTACATAACTCTTAGCATATTTTTGTATAAAATTAGATTTCGTTGAGCAGCCGCTAAAAAAATTTTTATGTAAGACAACTTCATTTCATAGAGCACACATTGATGAAGTTGTTTCCTAAATAACTTCCTGATAATGATCTTTGTAAAGTTTATTCTGTTCATTTTTACACATCATGCTATGCAGCTGAAAATGATGTGGTTTTTAATTGTTGTACTGTTTAATTCACTTGGTTGAAACATCCAGATTAGCTTGCCTTGTACTTTGACTTGATTTGACTCTTTCTCAGTTTGCTATCCTTTCCTTGTCCTTGTAAAAAACTGAATATTCTGAATTCACACTGAGTTATAATATATTGAACATACTGAAATTAATGCTAAGCAGTAAAAACTGTTCGAGAAAACTTTAACACATTGGATTATATGTCTTTAAATGTTTTAAAATTATTTTGCTCAAAGTGATCTTATTAAAGTTGAAAGGAATAGACGATAAGGACTGTGTTTATTTCATCAAGTCAGAGGTATCTTTCATCTTTCATATCCTTTATACAAAGTCGCTTTAAACAACGTCGAGATAGAACTATGAGAAACTTCGACAAAATCTGTTGATATTTATAATATCTTGTCTCTATACCAAAGGGGACTGATTTATCTCAACTGGCATTTGGGCTCCTTTACTGACGCCTCGATACTGCTTGAAGATTAATTTGTTTCGATTTTAAATAAACAGCTGATACTGGTTTTGGAAAAGGTGGTTTGTGTAACTCAATAAGAAAATGAAGAACGCTCTGACATTTTAATCCATGTACGATGTGCTTCAGTCTCGGAGGTAACAACATTGCTCACTAGAATGCAAGTATATCCATATAAAGATTCCTAAGTGCAAAGAAGTGCTCATCCAGGATCGCACTATTAGCCACCACGAAACAAATCATAACCTGGACAATAGTTCGAGAATTTGTTTTTTCACAAAGCATTTTTAAATTGTGAGATCTCGATGCAATGAGTCATAACAGACAAAAATAAGAGAAATAAAAATTCTATGGCATTTTTTCATAATTTCGATACTGTGTAAGGCACCTTTTTGAATAAAAGCAGGCATCAAGCCTAAATAAGACAATTAAGGTAATCATTAAAAACATGTATGAAAATACTGATCTGTTTTGTTTGTCCTCAAGGATTATACGAGCAAAAAGGTTTATTACAGGAAACATAATTTCATTAAATCTATTTTTATAGCTGAATCAAGCCCATATTTATGTAATTCACAAGTAGGCCTACAAAAAAGCTTATTATGCAGTTCGTTACTGTGTTTGTTGAGTATTTTGGACTGATTGTGATACCAATCTTTTAAGACACCTGCATGCAAACCTTTTCGTGATATATTTCAAAATTCTGATGCAAACACCCATAAACTCATTAAAACGACATGACATTCTGATTTGTTTAAAATAATGAAATAAAGCCTTCTGAAGAAATGTCAAATATTTCTATCTGAATGTCATTGCGAAAGCCCACAGGAATATATTTAAACATGAAACCGTTTTAATACTGGTTTAATCATAAATATTTGCCAATTAAATAATATCTTAAAGGTGAATGGATTTGAATAACTCCTACTCGACTGATGTATTCTTCAACATACTGTGAAAAAATTGTCAAAAGAAAGATTAAGGCTACCTGTGAAGTCAACTATATGAGCTTGACATGCTGGTTTATCATGCGAAATGGTCATTATCTGTATCGATGGTTGTACAGACATAACATCTACACGCCGTTATGTTTCTTCACTTCTGTAAGCAAATACCTAAGATTCAGAATGTGATTTTGAAGAGGAAGTTATTGAATCATTGCACATATGACGTAAAATAGTGGTATGAAATGTATAACTTTAAAAACGAAACGTTATCAACAAATAAACTGATATAGCTTCAGTTTAATCAAGTAGTAACTAAACATCGAATATTAAGTTACCAGAAAAACCTGAAATTCTCCTTCAGAGAAAATTCTTAATGGACAACTTGAAGTTTCAATTGCTAATGACAGACGATTAAGTTCAAATGTGTTAGAACATTAAACCAGGTCATTTACCAGCAGATTTGTTTCTTTTAATTATGTGTGGCGTTTGGTCTCTAGATGTTTTGTATTTCGAAACCTACAAGTCATTAAGATATACATTTAGCTAATAAGGCACCATACAATCACAGATAATGCGATATTTCTGAGAAGATTGAATAGAGTCATTAATTCAGACGTAAAAAATTACTTCTCCTAGATAGTATGGATTATTCAAATCATAACTACAATGCGTAGTTCTCAAGATCCAAAAATGTTTTAGGATCTGCACTGCTAAGACAACGTAAATGTGGCTAGTTGAGATAAATACAGCCTAATGATCTAAGTTGATTACTAGCAGGTTTTTGTTGAAGACTCACTTCAGGTTGTGCAGTCTAAAAGAACTACAAAAAATCCGTTTCAAAGTACCAGTCACGGTATTATTAATAAGAGCGGTGATATTATCATTATAAACCAATGAGCTGTAAATCAACATCTGAATGAAATCTACTCTTAGGTTAGTGCTTTTACAAAATTGTAGGTTCAGACTGTTGAGAATTCCTTACAAACGGCTGGCCACCTATTATTCTTCAAATGACAAAATTTCTGAGTAAAAAATAATTTCATAGCAATTAGCTGTTTAGAGCTACAGGGAAGCCTGTCGACCTACTTATTGAAATGATAAAAGTAATGGAATTCGCATTACTGTTTTTAGAATGCTTTCGTTCTCTGTTTAATTACATTGATGAATACTGAAATGTTCAAGTGTGCGCATAAGTTGAAGTTACCCAGCTGTTGTGTATATTTGATTTCATGACAAAGCATTACAGACCACCTATGCAAAATTATTCCACTAACTCAGTCAAAGGATATAAATGAAAAAGCGTTTCTTTGATCATTATCGAAAGAAATATTTTTAAACTGTTATTTTAGAATATTAGACAAGCTCGTTTCGCTCACCAAGTTGTTCTTAAGGTTAACTGGCTTTATTCTGCAGTGTAATACTTCAATGAAGATTTGTAGGTATTTCAGAGTTTCCTTGTTTTGATGCTGTTTAAAGTCACAAGTATTTCAATTGCAATTACCTACTAGATTTTACGTCAGAGCGATATTGTGCCAAATAAAAATGTTTGTAGTATAAGTGCTGAATATAAATTCTACGGGTACTAAGTATGCTTATTTTATTTTAATTCATTACGAATACAAAGAGAATATGTCCCTTTTCTTGACGCCAGACTAATTTAAATGAAACAACCTTTAGAACCACTGGACAACGCTTTTCTGAACTCAGGACTTGTCATCAAGCAAGTGTTTGTATTTAATAAGTTTTGAAATACAATTTTTGGAAAGAACTTTTTGTCCTTCCTTTCCTCTTAGTCTGAGATATTGTATCCACTACTGAGTTATCAATTTTATTGCATAATATCAACAAGATAGGAGTAGAATAGTTAAGTAACTAGGTCTTAGTTCAGTGTATTAGGACTATTTAAATTCAACATTTAGAGTAAGTCATTTCAAAAACCGTTGAAACAGACTAATGTTTTCATTGAATATGAACAAAACAGGGATATAGTACTTTCCTCAAGAAACGTGTTAACTCTGAAAAACTATAAGTGAAAAAATTGAAATTTTATCTCCAATTCACTTGAAAATTTTGTGATTTCACGTTTCACTAAACTTTTGACTGCTTCATTGTTAGTTTATCAATAATGCATTCACAAGTATGCATACATAAATAAATAAATTAACCTCAAATTGTTGATACGCTCGCACTAATACTAATGAAATGTATTTACGATGAATTCTCTATCATTTACAATTACATAACATCCCAAATGAAGATTCATCAGATTTTGTCATCGTACAAGCCTTCTTTGAAATACTATGATATAACGGTCTACCATTGTTCTTTTCGTGATTATAAAGTGGTACTTATGAGACTTTTAATACACATTTTATTTTGGAGTCATATTATGGGTTATATAAATGCTAGTTTCCTAACCAGTCTCATCAACAGTTGATTAGCTGTTCTTCATCTCTAATTCAACACAATAAATAATGTGACGAGAAGTTCTGGCTTGGCAACCTATGGTCTGAAAATGAACTTATGTTTAAGTATCACTTAATATAAGTGTAAAACTTGGGCACTGTGGTAGAATGTAATTCTATATTAGATGTGTTTATCTGATATATAGCCCACAGTGATACAATATTATTTACTTGATTACCTTTTGAGCATAAATTTCTGCTCATAATCATATCAATGTGATATGATATGATTATGAGCAATAATTTATGCTCGAAACGTAATCAAGTAAATAATACTGTATCACCGTGGGCTATATATCAGATAAACAAATCTAGTATGGAATTAAGTATTACTTATTCAACCAGTTCAGCTTCAGTTCGTCACTAGACAGCTACTTATGTTGTGACTGGCAGTGGAATTCAGGATGCGCTTTTCACCCTATTTGGGGTTTATCAGCTGGGGGTACCTGCATCTCAGTGACTGATTTCGATGTAAAAAATTATGCTCCCGCTAAACTTCTTCTATAGAGTTATTCTAATATTGTTATACAACTCTACAACATTAACACTATTTAAATCAGAATTATCTTCACAAAATCTTGAGTTAAAATTTGTGAGTTTTTAGTTTGTTTTACCTACAATCTTTCGAATATGCGCTGGTTAAAATATCAGGTTTAACTCGGAATAACTAAGCGTAGTGTTTACATGTTGGACAAGTTGAAACTCTTCGGTTTAGTTTACGCAGAATTCATAAATGAAAGAAGTCTAACTTACTAAGGGGTATAGGGGTTAAATAATAATCGGTTGTCCAAACAGTTTAGTCAGTATGATACTCAAGAATACTGGTACCATAGCCATTGTGGTAAAACGTTTCCTATATTAGATGCTTAGATTGCATAACTACAACTTGAGACGAGGTAAATATATCATCATCGATATATATTTAAATTAATGCTTACACTCATTCGAACCACATCATATCAAACCGTTTCTCATTAAACAACGAACAATCTGAGGTAATCATTCTCACTTTTTATCACCACGGGTCAAATTTTGAAAGCATTATTTGTCTTTATTGAATAGTGCAACAAAGTCATAAGCTTGGACACAAAACTGAATGATTTTGGTTATCTTAGAGATAATTCAACTGAACGAATAAGCACAGTTTCTGAAAATTTCCTGGAAACTTGATAGAGTATTGTTTTATCATTTTTTGGAATTTTATTTATTTCATTGTTACGATGCTACAACTGCAGCGATATAAGTTTCGAATGATACAATAAACTGATATGCTAAGCCTAATGACTGACTTTAGTGATGCGAAACTTGGACCTAAATCTAAGGAGGCATTATAAGGATGCATTTTAATATAACTTCAGCGTGTTTGGGCAATCGAAACAAGAGTTTTCTGAATGTTTTGCTGTGTAAGCTGAAGCTTCTCCAGCAGAATATTTGAACTTTTTATTACTATGTTAACCAATTAATAAAGAATCCAAACATTCTGCTGAATAGACTGCGGCTTTCACAGCAAGTCGTTCAGAAAAATCTTATTTTAATTCCCCAAACACCCTGGGATTATATTAAAACGTGCTGTTATATCGACTGAATCAGACTGGTCACTCAAATTCTTTCGGTACAAGCGTAACAACTTTGGTCTGAATGGTTATAATCGAAAGAAACTGTTTTTAAAAAGTGCAGCATAAACATACCTTTTCCTTTTGTAAGACATTTTTGATTTCATTTAAGATTTTAACGATTTTGTGTCTAGAAAAGTTCAACCTTCATGTTTAGCAGTAATATTGCTGCCTATTTGATAAACTTGATAGAAACGGGTAAACAAACTAACATGAAGTTCCTTTCTCCTTCTCAGCGATTAAATTTGTCTTTTTATGTGGTGGCTCAAACTATTATTCTTATGACAGCTGTGTTTTATTATTTACTTGTAAGCACATCGCAATAGACAGCCTTAAAATTAAACCCTCTAACCAGGATTTTAATTATAAATAAGCCCTGATAAGTGATTCCAGCGTCTAGCTATTCCCATTAACAGTTTATCAACTTCCAAAATGTTTTTTCTTGCGTCGAATTTCAACACGATAAGGCCGAGAACTTATAGTTGGCTCACTGCCTCTTCTAGTATCCCACTCTATCTTTAAGATGATCAATCAGTTTAATGTTAATACTGGATAATAAATGAAAATGAAGTGAAAATCAAATCAGTGGTTCTTATTCAGCCGCGGCCCAGTTTTTCATTTCACCTTCAATCATCACCCAGTATCACTACAAGTCTACCAAACCACAGCTACCTCAGATCATCAAACTGATAATTTATTGTTATTCAAATGGTTCGCATCATTCATGTGAAATCCATAAGTGAAAAAACCTGTGGAAATAAGATTTAAACAACTTTAAATAAGTAACAGGAAATAGTCCAACAAGTAATTTTTCTATCTAAAATGTATTCTTATATCCTTAAAGTTACAAATTCAAAGAAGTTAGAGCAAATACACTTAAAATTTGAAGGCACTAACCAACAATTTCCTGAGAGTGAAGTGATTCAGTGTTCAAGAATCAAAGAGAGAACACTCAACTCAGAAACTCGGCATTCCTAGATTCTGCTAGAGCCAAAGTTTCTAGTATTAGACACTTATGTGCCTCAGTTTATTTTGAAATGATATAAGTTATAATTCTATGCCGGTTAATGGCTGAATGTCTTGAAGTTTCAGGTCCGTTTGTATTTTATTCTTGTTTTCTTACTCGTCCCCACATCTAACATTTATGCTAAGATAACACCAGTCGGTGAATAAAGAATGAGGTGTGGAATATAACAATGAAGTAAGAAATGGTATGAAGGTATTAAACCTGTATTTATTTCTGTCTCAAACATGTTTTGGCGGTTGAATTAGCTCAAATACAAATCATATTTTAGATAAACAGTTGTTCAACATCAAATTAGTAATTCTGAAAGGTTGACAGAAACTAGAGTTTGGCTCTGTCCCGCATTACATGACTGCCAAGTGTTTTCATAAAAAGGTACATTTCCTCATTCATCGATCAAATATTATCCATTGGTTTCGCGTGTAAAACAACTGGAGATGCAGTTAAATTACTAACACATTCGTAGGTCAGTGTATAAGGGACTTATCTGTCTCAAGGAAGATGATTCTTATGCACAGACATTTATTGTTATTCGATAATACATAACAAGCGGATAATTTCTTTTTTATCCTACATAAAAATAAATTTGAGAACTAGAGTGATGGTGACAATCATCATAATCATGAAGAATTATCTTTAGGGTCATATTTTAACACACTAAATTTCCTTTCTATTCAAAAGACCCCAATTTTCAACTTACCACTTTTCTGCTTGAATACACTTCTGAATTTTGATGTTCATTATCTATGTAAGTGTTGTATTCCACTTGTGGCTGGTTTTGTCTTGCATTTTCACTTTGCTTCCGCATATCTTGTACCAGAAGGCTTGATTTTGAACACTCGCTTCTTTTAAAATCATGTAACGAAGACTGTGGACAAATGGAAGATGACGATGCTGACAGAAAGAGGGCTGAAGAAGAAGACGAAGAAGGAGACAATGAATCTTTCTTGTATTTTATGTCAGTAGGTAGACTGCGTAAACTACTCGGCATAAGTATGTTACTCACAGGAGGCAGTTTATTATAATCTTTTGTGAAACTTCGATTTTGAACATCATTCATTTGTGTTAAACTACTTTTACTGCTTCCTGGGAAAGTCGACGTCAGTGTAAGAGCTGGGTTATATTCATTTATGGTAACAATAGGAAATTTCTGTAAACGTTCATCTGTTTCATTTCCGGAAAACAGTTTTTGTGTAAGTGGAAGGCTTTGTTCAGTATACTGATGTGATTCATATTGAATGTGGTTGGGTGAAGTCACTTGTGTGGTAGTCATACCATGAGAAAATGTCTGTGAGAAAATCATTGTAGGGAATTTTCGATGTACATTTTCAATGTTAGTCAATGATGATCCAAACACAGATTTCAGTGAGTTAATTTCCTCGAAAATTCTTGTTTTATCCGTTGTAAATTCAGATGGTATTAAAACACTTGAGTTCGACGTCGAGTGCCAGATAAGTTAAGCATTATAAAACTTTCGCTTATCAAAGAAGTATCCTCAAGTTGATTTGAGAAGATACAGTGAAATACCAAAGATAAAATACCAGTTTGTGAGCGATAAAAACTGCTCGTTTGGCCTTAAAAATGGTCAGCGATAGGTATTTATCCTTAAGAAATGAGATCACTCACCTGAAGAAAGCATTTCTTCTAAGGGAAGAATGCACCAACATATAGCAAAATAGAACATTTCTATAGGGTTGCAGAAAATATTGGGCCTCTACACCTTTCTTTTGCTCATACATAATCTGATGCTGTGGACATGTCTTGAATATGTACACACACACGTACTGGAAAACATAACCTAAATAGGTACATTAATAGTGGATAAATAGGAAAATTTTCTTCCTTGGTTTTATTTCTACTCATCTGACATCTAATTTATCGATATGAATTCAGCTTATAAAATCTCATAAGAAAAGTCAACATCATCTTTAATTTATTACTTACAACCTTATTATTTACAGATACATGTATGATTGGTCGTAGATCATTTTTATACAGCTTTGGAAAAATCCAAACCTGCATATTAAGCTAGATTGCCAACCACCTAACATTTACTTTTCCCCTTTCTGATTGCCATCTTGAACCCCGATATGATCACTTAATCGGGGCTTCTGATAACCGGGAACTTCAAGCAATTCGGATTCCGACCTAGCTGCTCAATGGTAACGTGCTGGCCACGGAACCTGAAGGTCCTGGGTTCGAATCCTGGCCGAGTCATGGATGTGCTCTGCTGAAGTCCTATACTGGGACAAAACACCTGTCAAATGCTCCCAGGTTTCCAATGTTCCTCTAGCTGATGTCAGTCCATGGCGAATACCAACTCGAAAAAATCTCTAAATCCCCACAAACCCCTAAACTCAGTTTGGATTCCCTTGAGAACCTTTTATCCCATACTTATTCAGTTATCACTCTAACACGTGCATTCTTTTGCTGATTTCAGATGGACGCACAAATACCTTTAGTTCCAACGACGGTGTATAAAACAGTAAGTTTCCTTCCAATGCCACCTCTCTTGTAAAACTCTTTCTTTATATCACCGAGTCCTAACGTTTTTATAACTAACTAGTTGTAAGAGGCGATTGTTCAAAAATTTATTTTTGTAGTCTTTAATATGTTTCAGTTTTTCGTTCATGACGCCTCATCACAGAACCTAGTGACTACCCTGTTCATCCAGTGAAACCTGTCAAAGCGACAAGGCGTATTCAGATGACTTTATACTGACTTTACGATTCGCAAACTTTGTAATAAAAGTATCCAATACTTTATACGCTATACAGTGAGTGAATCCTTCATCAGTGTATACATATAAAATCATTATTTTTGCTGTCAAACTTTAAAAAATGTATAACCAAATTAAATGCTTCTTAAACCAGCGCACGAACTGAAAGTTTAAGATTTAGTGTGTCATTTAAGAAAACATCCATGAACTATTCTAAGTTGTAATGTGGTGAATGTTACGGATAATGACATGTTTATGTACTATGTATTGCAACGTTCCCAGCTAAAACTCACATGATGTTCTGATTATCCAGTGAGTGTTCTGGAGAGAATCCAGGGTGGACAAGCCGGAAATATAGAAAGTAAGAAGACAAAAGGGAAGGAGCCAAAGTAGACGAACACAAAATCGATGAACAAAGAAAATTGACTGCGGAACCATAGTATTTTTCCAGTATTTAAATAAGTTTCCTTCATAAAAATTCTTTCATTGAGTTCAATATTTTCTTTATCTTCGGTGATAGTGGGAATTCTTCAAGATAATTGTGGCCGAAATTTGAAAACCATGTTGCAATGTAGATTAGAAAAGTCACAGACTGCAGAAAAACAAAAACTGCTAGCTCTTTACGAGTTTCCATGAATGTAACTGAAGTCTGAGCTATCTGTGACAAATTTGCTCGTTGACTACTATGTGACATGATATATTCTCAGCACTTTGTGTTCTTGTGTTGTGTACAACCAAACTTAGCCTTATTACTGCTGTATGAAAAAATTAAAAATGGTAATCATCCGGAAATTAAAGACGATTGGAAAGTGTGCTGAGCACTATACTTGTAGTTTTCCAGCAAAACATTTTTAAAACGTAACCAGATTGAAATTTTTTCCACCTAGACTTACTTGATGGTAAAAAATATCGAGTGAAATAACTCAGTAAAGATATTTTGAAGTATCTTCTGAAACGTGTTTTCAAAGTGGCTCAATGAGATATCTAGCACTTAGGGTGAATACAAATTTCGAAATCCTTTGAAAACAAGAGCCTCTTTTCTACCCAGTTACATCATATGCAGGAAAAAATCTCTTAGAAAGTGAAAAGAACTACTCTGTTTAGGTATAGTCTTATTCACTCAGGTAAAATATTACTGTTTTGTAGTATGTCATACTGAAAAAATATTTCCAGTTATCTTCGTCATAATTTTTGTTTAATTCCAGATAATGGCATACCTAAAACGTTTTCATTAGCCTTATTAAAGTGCTCAAAAGTGTTTAACTGCAATCAACTGCTGATGACACTCAAAGAAGATACCCAAGTGATCAATTTTTACTAAATAGCTAACGTCGACAAAAAATTTAGCTGACTGATGTCAAAGAAGTGGGAATGTCTTCGTATCGTTCGAAGTGCCAAACAGGATTGATTTCTATAAGAACAAGAGTTTCTAAGTGGTTTTAATGACTCCAAGACAACTTTGAAAGAAGTGAAAATGAACACATTTATTTTCTTTTGAACAACCAGAAAATTTTAGTGTTTATGGTGGCTAAAATATACATGTATTTCTGACATTAACAGTACTAACAAAATAGCTTTCATTTATTTATTGCACTGAACCTCAATAAAAATCACATACACCTGAAATATATAGTTCTGCATTTAATAGTTTAAAACTATTTGCTATTGAATCAGAAGGAATATGGGTGACTGGAATTGGTAACTACCAGGAAAGTAGTAAACTTATTACGTTAAGTATCAGCACAGTGGAGAATTATATGCATCCTTGAAGACAGCTTGAAGAATTTGTCGTCAACTGGTGATGGATTGCCTGAGGCTTCTTCTATGCTCAGTTCAAGCCTGACCTCTCTATTCAAAAGATAAAACTCTACAACTTCTGATCAAATTTTATCGAAATGTACTGACGCATTGTTCCTTGTCAAAAAGCTATTGGATTTAATGTCTGACAGTTTTCCGTATCAAACTTTATGCTGGGATAATATTTTAAAACTTCAGCTTAACTGATTTTGATACGAATGAATCTCTGAAATCCACAACTGTACATAACTTTTCCACTACATAAATTAAGGTGAAGAAAGTGTATTCTCGAAAATTAACTAGTTTACACCTTAACTTATGAATGACCTTAAATATGAAGCTAAGTACACAATTTCCCTTACAAAGCTCAAGTTTCCTTTTTTATTTCTATTTCATTTAACATCCTCCAACACCTTAAACTCATATATATATATATATATATATATATATATATATATATATACTGAAATTTTACATAGGTCATTTGAAAAAGTCTATTGTTTACGTTTACAAGAGTTACCTATTTAGTTAGTCCTCTTTTCGTCTATCTCCTTGTCCCTTAGTCTTGTATTTCTAAACCTTATTCGTGAAAACTATTGTCAATCATCAGTTTAGGGATGTGTTCATTAGGAGAAAGTCCGTCCTCTTTCTTACCTCGTTAGTGAACAGGGATGACTGTTAATAAAGTATTCTTCATGCACAAGTCACTTATAATTGTGGTTTTGGGTTCCCAGATTCACTTTAGAGTTTGTCTACCGGTTGACATTTTTTATCTGAAATGTAACAAAATTAGCAGTACAATAACTCAACATCCTACAATATTGCTGCTTTTTTGGCAGGATATCACTTTAACTATTACAGTTCTGCGTACACCTAAGAAAAACAACATTCGATATACTTTTTCTTTGCTGGATTATTTCGCTAACCTTCTGGCAAGACACGTGTTTTCCAAAGTACATACCGTTGCTGCACATGTAGTGAATTCCCAGTTTCAATGAAATTAGTTAGGTTAAACCACCTAATAATGAGAAAATAAACAAATCCAACTGAACACCACACCTTATCTGTCGAGCTTATACTGCGAAATTAAGTTATGAAAAAGCTTTGTGTAACATAGCCTAATTTACCACTTGAACGTAACTTTAAAGTTGACGTTATACAGAGAATCGTGTTGGGTTAACTGAACTATTAAGCTTGTATTCAGCTGATAACAAGTGCTCTTGCAAACGATCCACTTTACTTATTGAAATTTTTTTATCAATCTAGCGATCAACGTATCATCTTCACTCAGAGATAAAATGCTTCAAACAGAGTTATTGGATAAGAAGACCAGCACATATTCCTTCTTGATACCTGAACCACCAAGTAGTCTTCGTCCCACTCAAGGACTTTGAAATAAACGAATTTACTTTGCCTTATTTGTTGGTTGATTTACTTCAAGTGTTTCTAAATGCACTTCATCACAATGGTAATCTGGAGCATTTGAGACTGGTTGTCACAATTATCAGGTTACTTATTGCTTTTACAATTGCTTATTAAGTCTATCAAGTGGTGTCATACTCTCAAACGTCACTTCAATCGGTATTCATGGTAATATCTTTGTTGGTGGTATTGTTTTCATTTAAGTCTATAGTATAATAATGCTTCTAAAAGAACTTAGTAAGTCGTTATAGACTTAGAATGCTTTAATGACTTACAGATGAACTGATAAACAGGAAGCCACTCTTAATCTGCGCTTTTATCTCAGAGGAAAGTAATAATCACCTGATTTTAAAGGAAATCTTTAT